TCAAAAAATGTTAAATCTTTATTTATTAGAAATTGTTATAAACTTGAATTATGTTCTTGAAAATCCATTTCGTAGCATAAAATACCAAGACATCATAAATGTTTTTCAAGACCACACAAATGTTTGCTTCTACAAACATTAAGTATGTATAATTTCATTCGATAAATATTTATTGTGAGATTACCATGTGCCAGATGCTGGACCAGGCACCAGGAATAAACACAAGTGAACTCAGGAGGCACAGCTCCTGCCCTCCCAACAGAGGTAATAGGCAAGATGGCAAGAGAGACGACTCCATAGGCCATTATAATCAAGTGTGATATGTGCTACGGTAGAGGAAGTACAGGTGTTATGAATGTGCCAGTATCAGTGTTTCCTCCCACATTTTTTGTTTGTTTGTTTTTGGAATATTTGAGGCTTTAGAAATAAAATATCATTAAAACGTGTACTGAAGACCTGTCTTCTCTCTGAATGGTAAATGCCTGGGGAGTGACAGTTTCCTTGGGAAAAGTTTCTCTTACTCTGAATCTTGAATGAATATTAAATCACCTGGGATGCTTTAAAATAATACCCTTGCTTGACTGCACTTCTACAGGTTCCTTTCCTTTTTAAAAAAAAAAACCAGTATCCATCATCAGTTAGCTTATTTACTCAATTCCAGGATACACGTGTAGTGGAGTCAGAACTGTTAACCTGTACTCCCGTGGGAAACAACTTTATTAACTACAGTACAGTGCTTATGTACAGTTCCTTAGTCTTTATTCTTATAGTCTTACTCATTTCCTAAGTTACTTAGGAAAATTTTCCTCCAACTCCCTTCAGTGAACTTATGTCATATATCTGTAACATAGATTCTTTTAAAAAAAAATAAAATTATACCCGCTCCACCCATTTCTCCCATACCCCATCCCCTGCCTCTGGCAACCACTCATTTGTTCTCTGTATCACCAAGCTTGAGGTTTTGTTTTCATTTTAGATTCCACATATAAGAGAGATCATATGATATTTGTCTTTTTCTGACTTCTTTTACTTAGCATAATGCCCTTGACGTCTATCCATGTTATGGCAAATGGCAAGATTTCATTATTTTTATGGTTGAATAATAGTCTGTTGTATATATATACAACAATTTCTTTATCCATTCATCCATCTATGGACACTCAGATTATTTCCATATCTTGGCTACTGTAAATAATGATGCAATGAACATGGGGGGGGGGTGGGTTGCACCTATCTTTTTGAATTAGTGTTTTCATTTTCTTCAGATAAACACCCAAAAGTGGAATTTCTGGATCATATAGAAGTTCTATTTTTAATGTTTTGAGGAACCTCCATACTGTTTTCCATAGTGGCTGCACAATTACATTTCTACCAATAGTGCACGAGGGTTCCCTTTTCGCCACATCTTTGCCAACATTCATTTCTTGTGTTTTTTTGCTAACAGCCATCCTAATAGGTATGAGGTGATAGCTCATGTGGTTTTGATTTGCATTTCCTTGATGATTAATGATGTACCTGTTTTGAGGAACCTCCATACTGTTTTCCATAGTGGCTGCACAATTACATTTCTACCAATAGTGCACGAGGGTTCCCTTTTCGCCACATCTTTGCCAACATTCATTTCTTGTGTTTTTTTGCTAACAGCCATCCTAATAGGTATGAGGTGATAGCTCATGTGGTTTTGATTTGCATTTCTTTGATGATTAACGATGTACCCGTTGGCTACCTATTTATCCTTTTTGGGAAAATGTCTATTCAGATCTGCTGCCCATTTTTAAAACAGACTGTTTGGATTTTTGCTATTGAGTTATATGGGTTCTTTCTATATTTTGGATATTAGCCCCTTATAAAAATTGTATCTTAATTGGTCTGGTGAGAGGTCCAAGAAACAATTTTTAAAGTACTCAGATGATTTTGATATGCAGCCATGGTTGAGAACCATTGTACTCCCTTTCTTCCAGTTTTCTCAACATTTGGCACCTATAATAAAAGATGCCTCACTCATTCTTAAATGGTTTTAGGTAAGTTTTCTGGGACATCCAGCTTTCTTCTACTGCTTTGATGTTTAGTAGAGAGGAAGCCCTATTGTCAATACTTCATTATTCTTCAGAACACGGGGCACTCGTTCCTCGCCTTTCCCCACTTGTGGAGAGGGAGGGATGACAGCACATCCATATTCTATCCCTTACTCTCTCCCCAGAGCGAGATGGAAAAACTCATCTGATTGGTTAGAGACTGACATCTAGTGGGTCACATAGCGATAGGTGTAGTTACTTTGCCTTAAAAGCAAGAAATATGCTCCACTAATGTCTTTCTTGCTGCTATCCGGCAGCGATAGTGAAAATAGATACTTGATCCTTATGGGGTGCTTGCTATATGGCAGATGCTGTTCTAAGCCTTTTACACACAAACCCTATGATGTACATTCTATGGTTATGCCATTTTAGACATGAGGAAGCTAAGCCTTCATGAGGTTTAGTAACTCATCTGAGGATGATACAAAGCCATTGGACTGGGATTTCAATCCAGACCATCTGGCTCCAGAGCCTTCTCTTAACCCCCATGCCACTGCACTGGTAGGGTGTTAGCTTGGCTTTTGTTCCACAATAGTAAGCACAGCTGGAGACCATTCACTGTCACTCCCATGCTCATTGGCTTTCTCTGTTCTACTAGTAACTGGGTCTGTGAGCCTCCAGAACTGCATAAAAGTACTCCAAGTCTTCTAGGAGGTGCAACTCTATTCTCAAGTGGGTACCATGGTCTAGAACTGAGGAGGGGGTGAGAGTTAGTGGTGGGAAAGTCCCTTGAACTAACATATACTCAGACTTTTTAAGATAATTGTTCTGCACTTCAAGAATTTGGGATCTATAACAATTTTGTACGAACAGTTTCTCATCCCAAAGAGATCCTTTACCCACACTACACACTGCTTGGATTTCACCTTACCTATTCTTAAGCATTCTGAAGAGAGGCAGTGCCTTTGTTAAGTGGCACAAGGATTCACTATATCTGATTATGAATCCATGCAAGAAAAGTTTTCTAATACCTCGGAAATCAGTTTATTGTGACTGTGTGTTGCTATTTACTGTATTGCTCTAGCCTCCATCTACTACTTGGATCTCGTTGCCATGATAACTTGGCTTGAAACATAAGTTTGGCTCATCACTCACGGTGTTTCATTTTCAAGAACAAAGGTTATTAAAGTTGGGGTGTTTAAATTCATGCCATTATAGTTAGAAGGTTGACAGTATCAGAAAAAATGTTTCCCTCTCCTGGTAATCTTCAATTAGCTAATGGGAATTTTGTAATACCTTATATTTTCCTTTTTGTCTAAATACAAAGCATGTTTAGAAGACTATGCAAAGTTTTTTTAAAGAAAATATTCTATTTTGAGTTTCATTATATGCTCTTTATTAGAAGACATTTTAAATCCTTTTTAAGAATGTTTTGCACGTTTTTAAATGGTTGGGGGAAAAAAATAAAAGAACAGTATTTTACAACAATGAAAATGATATGAAATTCATATTTCAGTTTTGTAAATAAAGTTTTACTGGAACACAGCCACATTCATTCATTTATGTGTTACCCGTGGCTGTTTTCACCCTACAACAGCAGAGTTGAGTAGCTGCAACAGAGACCGTCTGGCTTACAAAGCTTAAAATAGTGTCTGGCTCTTCACTGAAGAAGTCTGCTGTGTATACAGCATTATTCGTCCCACCTTCTGTCCCATCATCTCTTACTTGCTTCTTCTCATTCTATATTCCTGATTTTTCAATTCACATGTGAATAATATAAATTCATCCAGTGCAGGTTAGCATTTTTAAAGGAACAAAACAAAATTCAATTGCCTCCTTACTTGTACAGTACTCTTCTGTTAGTGATCCTGAGAGGAGAAAAATTGCCCCGCCTTAGTTTTCCCAGGACCAGGTAAACTCTTTCAAGGTTATATGGTCAAGCATTTTTTTTCAGCTCAGGAAACCCTTTATTATAACTTTGATTATTATTTCTATTTTCCTTATCGTGGAAAATTCTTTAAGAATTCCTATTGCTTGTGGGATTGGTCATCCAGAGCTAACCTCCTTGCCATTTTTATCTCTTTGCCCTTTCATTCCCATCCCACATTGGGTGACAACACATTTGTCAGCAACATACCAATTTTATTCTCTGTTGTGAGGCTTCTGCATCCAAATGGATGTCACTGGATTTTTAATCTTTCTGTATTTTTTTTCATCTTAGCCAGCTTTCTTTTCTGCCGGCATCTGTTTCTTGGTCTCTGTTCTTATTTCTTGTTTCAGTTTTCTGAGGCCATTTCTTTTTTGCCTCCTATTAAAAACACCAAGAGGATAGTTTTTGAAGCTTTTGCTTCCTTTAGTGAGATATTTTCTAAGAGTGACATACATTTTCTTTTGTAAGTTCTTTATATGAGTCCCACGTTAATTTGTTTACTATTACTATTACTATTACTATTTTTTAAATTGTTTTTCCTATTCAAGGATCTTTAAATGAGGAAGGGTGCATTGAACCTAATGCTTGTCAACACACAGACCAACAGATTGCTCTCCAACATCACCCTCCCTCTGGGTGTTGCATGCTTATACTTCTTAGATCTAAAGCTCAATGGTGAGTTGCTGTGCCATTTTTTATGTGTCATACCATGCTTCATTTTTTTATTCCAATGTAGATGGACATTTCAGTTTCCAGTCTGGGGTCTATCATGAATAGTATTGCTATGGAAATTCTTATCATGACTTTTGGTACATATACTCATGCTTTTCTATTCAGTATATATCTAAGAGGTGAAATTCTGGGTCATGGAATATGCATATTTTCAACCTTGGTAGATAATGCTAATACACTATGAACAGCAAACCAAAACTACTCAAGAAATATCCAGTAACATTGTTTTTTGTTGGACTCAACATGCCAGCATATCTTCATGAACAAAATGTTGAAATGAGACACGAAAAAATTTTCTCTTGAAGTAGAGTACCCAGGAAACACTAAAGAGAATAAATCTCCTTCATTTGATTATTAATACTGAAAATCATTTTTAAATTATTGGAGTTTATGAAAAATAAATCTCCTTCCTTATGAATCGCACATTGACAAGCCCATAAGAGGTGCACATCTTGGGAGAAGCACAGACTACTGGAATTATTTATGATGATTTGTACAGCTTCTTTAAAAAAAAGGTCATAATCTGTAAAAAACAACACAAATGGTTATGGTTATGTCCTCTTTTTAGAAACAATCATTATCTGATCAATATATCTAAAAAATTACTGTGATATACAATTACACAGAGCCCTGGTTTTGAAGTCGGACAGCCCCAGACATAGCCCAGATCTGCCACTATGAGCCCCACGATCCAAACGTTTCTTGGCTCACACGGTCTCGGTTTCCAAATTCTAGCACTTAAAAAAAACTTTACATTAACTAGGTTATAACTGAAAAGTTAACATATGTACACCATTAAAAAACTGAAACTACAGAAGAATATAGACATGAGAAAAGTCAGTCACTTTCCCTTTAGTCTGACCTCCAGTCCCCAGTTTCCATGTCTAGCAACAACTACTCACCAATTTCTTGTTGATCTTTCCAGAAATAGTCTGTGTATATTGCAGGGATAATGCATGTATATACATATTTGTGCATATACATACATATTTCTAACTTTTAATTATGGAAAATGACACATACAGGAAAGTACAAAAAACCATTGTGCTGCTTAATGAATTCATGTAAAGTATTCATCTATGTAAATACCACCTAGGTCAAGAAATCCCATACGCTCTCACTTACTCCTTCCCAATCACAACCCTCTCCCTATCATCTGAAAGTAATCACTATTGTTTTTATTTGATTTTTACAGTAAACACTTCCTTGCTTTTCTTTATATCTTTACCTCCTAATTATACATTCATAAACACCATAGTTTAGTACTGGTTTTGAACTTTATATAAATAGACTTTTTTTTTTTTTTTTACTTTTGGCCTTTTTTGAACCTTATTATATCTGCAAGATTTATCCATGTTGTTGTATTTAGTTCTACTTCATTCATTTTAACTGCTGTAGAGATTTACATACTTTTTCTGCAAAGATCCTGACAGCAAATATTTTAGGCTTTTGGGCCAAAAAGACAAAATCAAGGATATTCTACAGGTACTCAAAGAAAAAGAGAGAAAACAAACTGTCACAGTTTTCTTTATTGATAAAATTCAAATATAGTAACAATAATTGACTATATTTTTTGTAATAGAGGTCTACTAATGAGAAGAATGGAACTCTTATTTAAGAGATAACATTTTGTCTGAGGTTCAAATCATCAAAATTGATTGCACATGTTCACCTGCTAATGGTGATAGGTAATGAGACATCTCTCATCTCAGCTTTGAAAATGTCTTTCACACAGATATGTGCTACCAATACTAATATCTATCCATGAGCATATGCTTTTAATTGTGTACATTTATTACTTAGAAGGTACTTTTAGAATTCCATTAGATTCTTCTCTTGAAATTTTTTTAACATGTCATTACAATGCAGATTAATCACTTCTGACTGAAGGTTAGGTGAGCATGTCTTCATTGCACGGTTAAACAGATTTTGAAATATGGAAATTCCTTTGACTTGTTTCAAGGTCAAAAACATGGTCCCGGAAATACAGTTTAAACTCAGAAAATATAGTCACTATAAATATGTGTGGGAATTGAAATCTTGCTTCTAGTTTTAATTTTGACAGTACAGGAAGTATATGAAGCGGCTTAATATCCCCTAGGCCCTCTGCCTTTGGCAAGCCTGAGTCTCAGCTCATGCCCAGGCGTGGCCAATGCCCCAAGGGAAGAAAATGGCCAGTGACCTCAGATCATTTAGGAAGAACTCTTTACTTCTCTACCATTTTAATTCATCTAGTCCCCTTTGTTTCCACTGCTCTCCAATGTCTTTAAAAATATGACATTTACAGTGAATCCATCCTTTCCTCTAATTATTGCAGCTACCTATTACAGCCTACCTAGAATCAGAAGACATGACTATTTTCTGTTTCATCAATTTCTGTAATTTTTATTTATTTCCTTCTTTTACTTTTTTTTTTGCATCTAATTTTCTGTTATTTTTCTAATTTCTTTAAAAGGATGCTTAATCTTTTCACCTTTTCTAATAAACACCTTTAAGACTACAATTTTCCAGCTAAGTGCTACATTAGCAGCATTCCACAAGTTTGATAAATATACAGCATTTTTGTTATTTTTCAGTTCAAAATATTTTTGACTTTCTATTCTGATACTTTCTTTGATGAATACTTATTTACACCTATATTTCTTAATTTCCAAACATGTATCTTATTATTGATTTCTAGTTTCATTGCATTTTTACCAGAGAACATACATGATTTAAACCCTGAAATGGCTAACACTTGCTTTGCGACACATTTTGTGGATAGCTGCCTTCTAGTTATGTCCTCACATAGCAGGAAAAGATACAGAGAGCAAACTCTCTGGTGTCCCTTCTTATAAAGAAACTAGTTCCATCATGATGGACCCACCCTCATGATCTCATCTAATTCTAATTATCTCCCACAATCCTCATCTCCAAATGCCAACACAATGGAGGTTAGGGCTTCAACTTATGAATTTTGCGGTGACATGATTTAGTCCATAACATTCCACACCTGCCCCCCAAGATTCACATCCTTCTCACTTGAAGAATACATTCATTCCATCCCAACAGCTCCAAAGCCTTAACTCATTTGAATGTCAACTCTAAAGTCTAGAGTCCAAAGTCTGATCTAAATATTATCTAAATCAGATACAGGGGAGACTCAAGGTATGATTCATCTTGAGGTAACATTCTCCTGTAGCTATGAACCAAACAAGTTATGTGCTTCCAAAATACAATGGTGGAACAGGCACAGAATAGATATTTCCATTCCAAAAGGGAGAAATCAAAAGGAAGGAGTAATGGGACTCAAGTAAGTCCAAAGCCCAGTCAGGCAAATTCTGTTGGATCTTAAAGCTTGAGATGAATCCTTTTTGGCTCATTGTCCTGCCTTCCAGGTCACTGGAATGGCGGCATTACTCCTACAGCTCTGCTAGGTGGCCCCGCTTCTTCAGCTCTGCTGTGTCCCCACCTCATGGCTCTCTGTGGTGATCCCGTCACTACAGCTCTGCTAGGGTAGGGTTCTACAGGTGATCCCACCCTTAAGATTCTGAGCAGAGGCCATCTGACCTGTTGAAACTGAGACAGTGGCCCTGATAATTTCTGAATTACCTTCAGGGTTATTTTTCCCTCTTCTTGAAGAATTGTGCACATTTGCAGCATAATAGCTCTATCTTCTCATCCTGTCAAATCCAAGAAGTCTGACAGTCTCCTTCATTTCATCCTGTCTCCAACACTTTCATTTCAAATTGGCAGAATCCCTACTCTTACACTCCCATAAGCTCTTTATCAAATAGCTGCTCAGCTACATCCTTTGTGTTCTTTCTCATCTTTTGAAATATGGATAAGCTAAGATCTTCAAGTTCTTGTTCCTTTTTGTTTAACAATTACTTCTTCGATTCATCTCTGCTTTCACATTTTACTATAAGCAGTCAGGAGGAATCAAATTGCTCCTTTAATACTTTGCTTAGAAATCTTCTCAGCTAAATATGGAATTTCATTGCTTGCAAGTTCTAACTTCCATAAAACATTAGAATGAAGTTCAGCCAAGTTCTCTGCCACTTTATAACATGGACTGCCTTTCCCCCATTTCCAATAATAATACATTCCACGTTTCTGTCTGAGACCTCACTAGAACTGCCCTTAAGACCCATATTTTTAGCATGTGCTTCAAAATTCTTCCCACCTCTACCCATTACCTAGTCCCAAAGCTACTTCCACGTGTTCAGGCATTTGTTAGAGCAGACCTCCACTCCTGGTACCAAAATCTATCTTAATCAGATCGGGTTGCCATAACAAAATACCATAGATTGGGTGGCTTAAACAACAGAAATTTATTTCCTCACACTAATGGACACTAGAAGTCCTAAGTAGTAAGTAATTTTAAAAATCTATGTTTAACACTTCCAATATTTTAAATTCCTTTAGGTCTGTCTCTATTATCTGTAATTTCTGTTGCTGCTTATATTTGCTGTGCCTCCTCATACATGTGGATATCCTCAATTGTATTCTGGAAATTGTACATGAAAAATTGTTTGTAAAAATTAACCAAGGTCTAAGATGATGTCAAGTTTCTCCAAAGAGAATTTAAGTTTTATTTCTGACAAGTTCCTTCGGGCAACAAGAATCAAGGATCTCTTAAATCCATTTCTGGAATTGAGATTTTTTTTTTTTTTGGATCATTCGGACGATCAGAAGCTAAACTGCAAAGTATGTGAGGGATGGTTTACTTCCAATTAACCCTTACAATTATGGCATAGCCTTTTGGAGTCCCACCTCAAGTGGAAGAGGTTTACCAGGGCCTCAACTTTGACTCCAGTTTTTGTTCCCCTGGTTTTAAAAACCTGATAAAAGCATTGCTCAGCCTTTCAGCCATATTTTCTATAAAAAAGTGGCTCCAAATGCCAGACTCAACATTCTGAATTTGTCTTCTAGATTTCTGCCCAGAAATTTCTATTTTGTTAGCGCTACTTGTCTTCTTCAGAAAAAAAGTTTTTTTAAGCAATGGTCCATGCTTACTGCCCCTTTTTCTAAGCATTATTAAATAATTTCACATCTATCCTTCCCTCCTTTCTTCTGAGAGAAGGAAAAGAGAGTAATATATACTATGGGGTGCCACTAAGTATCATGTTCTAGCCACTTAATAAATTATTAAGAAGATACTTTATTAATTTATTGGTTGCTTTTCCTTGCTGAGTATCTGTAGTTAGCCTAGCAACTAGATTTTTTAAACTACATTTTATGATTACAATATGCTTTACATAGGTTTTAATGAAATATATTTTACTTTCACTGAGTATAAAAGAGAAAATCATTTAAACATTCTTCTGACTTGATTTCACAGCTCACCATGGATGTCATAGAATAGGTGTTACACTCAAAAGTAAAAGCAGATGTATTCAATTTAAACTATGTAAATTATTAATCTTATTAAAAGTAAAAAAAATGACTACCCTAACTTTTATCACAGCAGTAAGATAGGCAAAATGCTTTGGTCCTTGAATTTGTATTACATAGATAGTATTTAACACTACACATAAATACATGGTTTTTTATCTTCAATGGTTTCAGAGGTTATTTCGTTATTAAAAACAAAAGTTTTTTAGCTGTGATTTATAGCCACAGCTTGATATTTAAGAGAACTTGATCAATTTTCTCTCTGCTCTCTTTCTTAATTTCCCCCTCATCTCAACCTTTTTTCCACGATCCTCTTTTATTGAGACTTAAGATCCCTATAGATGCCCCTGCAGAGGGTCTCTTGGTCACTTGTGCATGGACAAGCCTGAAGTGAAAGGAAATTATTTGTGTAAGATTATAGAGTTAGTGGCAGAGCTGGCCAATACCCAAATCTTCTGAATGCCAGGCTCAAATTTCCCTTAAACCTCGGTGCCTTCCCTAACCTCACAGCATACCCTCAGGCCAAAACAGTGAATGATGTGCCTCACCGTGGGCGGGCTGAGAGAAAAGTCAGAGGCAAACTGTTCACTTCATTTCCCCTTCTCATGAGAATTTTACTTTCAAATGACTCTCTAGCTCTGCTCTCCTAGTATCTGACAGGTGGTAATGCCAACTATGTTACTAAGCAACACTACTTAAGGTAAAATGACTCCTGATTAATAACTGACATCTGGCTGGGAGGAATTATAAATGGACTATTAATACTGAATAGGAAACTGTAGCTTTGGGCTTTCCTGAGTGTGCTAACTTTTGTCAATGGGTAAATCCAATGGGCAGAGGACCTGAACAGATACTTCTCCCAAGAAGACATGCAAACTGCCAACATATGACACATGAAAAGATGCTCAACTTCACTAGCTATTATGGAAAATGCAAATCAAAACTACAATGAGATACCACTTCATACCTGTTAGAATGGCTATCATCA